GTGGCTTTCGGAAACCTTGGTGCAAGCTTTCATTACCCTCCTCTTGCAAAGCCAGAATCCTATGCACGATGCCAAGTTCAGTTGCTCAAAATGTAGCGTGGTGCCCTTGAACAGCAGCTATCACAGCCTCTCTGTGACTTCATGACTGAGCTGAAAAGACACTTACCTAAGCAGGCATTTTCCAGCAGCCTACCTTCTGAAGACTGTCTGTCTTTCAGGCACTTCCAACTTCAACTGAAATCACGTTATGCCCTGGAGCTTCCCATGGGTAGGGTTTTGACCTAAAGGCACTTTTCCTATTATCCCAGTGCAAAGTCTGAGGTTTCTCCCTAATGCTGTTAATCTCATTACCAGTTACATCTGCTTTGTCTACACCTGCCCTGTCCTCGAATTTACCTGGCTTTACTCTCCTTTTCTCACCAGCTTCACATTTCTGACCCCACCTTTAACCAGTTCACACTCCCTTTCTCACCAAAATGCACATTTTCCACCTTTCTGCTCTCACTCACTGTAAATCTGAGGAGGCATAGTGAACCGTAGTCGCCACACAGCCTGGATGTTATGGTATCTTGAAATTTCCTTCACCAAACAGATTAATCCATTACTTTTGAATTCAGCCTCACTCATCTGTTCAGAATGTGGGCAGCCCAGAGTCAGGCTGCCAAAATGGAACATAATGACCTCTGCTCCAGTTCCCAGGAGAGTTTCTGAAACCTGGTGAGCCTGGCCTCCCTGTCTACATTCCCATTGACGATCTGGGCCGTTAAGCTCCCACGAGAATGTCCCTTTAAGCTCTAGGGCTTCTCTAGCAGAGCCAAACTCCTCCACATTCCTCCAACAAGCCACCTCCAAAGGTCTACAAACCTAGTCAGGCGGTCACATCAGTGATCTGACTTCTCAGTGCCAGTTTTCTGTGGTGGCATACTGACAAGAAACAACTTAGTGGAGGAAGCATTTATGTTAGCCCTTGGTTTGAGGGTACAGTCAGTCCCTCATGGCAGGGAAGGATGGCAGCAAGTGCAGCTCAGCTATGGGGGCAGACGCATGACGCTGCTTGCCTATATGTTAGTGGACCAAGAAGTAAAGAAAGGCCGAGCAACAAGGCCAAACTATACTTTTTTTTTTTTTTTTTTTTTTTGGCCTTTTTGAGACAGGGTCTCCCTGTCGCCCCAGCTGTCCTAGAACTCACTATGTAGACCAAGCTGGCCTTGAACTCACAGAGATCCTCCTGCCTCTGCCTCCCAAGTGCTGGGATTAAAGGTGTGCACCCACCATGCCCCGGCTTGAACTATACATTTTAAGCCCCACCCTGTGAACTGAAGTTCCAAGGGAAAAAAGCTGCACATGTGTTAAAGATTCTGTAAGGCTGACGATTAGAATTTCCATGGTAATGGAAATCTAGAATACTGTAAGGCTAGAACCAAATTACCTTGAACTGTCTTTAGCCCTCTTAATAGTCATTCCTCACCCACCTCTGTGTTTGACCTAATATCCTTGTGATCAGCAAATAACAGCCTGATGGAATACACCAACAGACCATCAGCTTCCACCAACCCAAAGGCTAAGAATGTCATCAGACAGCATCTGAGGCTGTCGAAGAGATTACCTGCTCTGCTGTAGCCTGTCTACCTGATATTCCCACTGATGGATTAGAAAAGTGCCCTGATTTATGACTTTCTTTTGTTTTCTTACTATAAAAACGCTATGAAGCTGATATTTGGAACAACCTGAATCTGTGTTCCCAAGCCATGTTCACTCATATTTTACTCTAGAATAAACTTTCTCATATTCCATTTGAGGTGAGAGTTGTTTTATGATCGCACCCCCACACAGACACACCCAGTGACCTATTTCCTCCAGATAGGTCCCACCTCCCAGAGGTTTCACAGTCCCGCAAACAGCGCCCCCAACTAGCAACCAAGTATTCCAACACCCAAGCTTGTGGGGAACATCCCCTATCTAAACCATAACATGCCTCTTGTCTACTGGGAGTAATGCTTCAACAAAGAGCAGTGTGCAGCTATTTCTTCAAGGTTCTACCCAGAAGAGGAATTGTTAGATCTCAGGGTAGTTCTATGTTTAATTTCTGGAGGAAATTCCATATTGTTTTCCATATTCTTGCACATTTTACAATGTCACTAACAATGTTCCAATTTCTCCAAGTCCTTGCTGACACAAGTTTTGTGTTTGTTTTTGATGGTAGCCACACTTGTGGATACAAGGTGATCTCATTTTTGTCTAGTCAACTCTTAAATCGTACAAAGTCCTTTGACCATTTCAGCTCCAAAGAATAATCTCAGTTTAGTAAACATGAGAGGTAGGATGATATCCCCTACTCCCCAGAATGTCTTCTTCCTAAGCCCCAGAAACTTAGAATTGTGTTCTTATTTTTACTGTAATGCTGGGAATTGAACTGAGGTATGCAAGGCAAGCACTCTACTAATGATCTATATTCCCAGCCCATGAATACATTATATGGGTACATCATACTACAGGGGTTACCTTATGAAGGTTGCCGATGATATTCAGGTTGCTAATTGGTTTCTTTTTTATTGATTTTTACGTTAGCATACAAAGTAATGGGCTTTGTCATGGTGTCTTTATACATACATGTCACTATGATTTGTCCTGTTCCCCGCTTGCTCTTCCTGCAGGCCCCTCCCTCCCTCCCCTCTGGCTGGTTCCCTTCCTTCCCATTAGTCCTCATTTCCACTTTATCACACATATTTCCCTAGTTGATTTCTTTAGTTAATGTTTTATTATGTTCTGATTTGTTTCTCCATTGCTGTGACAAAATACTCTGACCGGTACCAACTTGGGGAGGAAAGGGTTGATTTGGCTTACATCTCCCAGGTCACAGTTCAGCAGGGAGCCCAAGGTAGGAACTCAAGGCAGGAACCTGGAGGCAGGAGCTGGAGCACAGGCCATAGAGGAACACTGTTTACTGACTTACTCCCCTGGTCCATGCTCAGCTTGCCTTCTTATACAATACAGGACCACCTGCCCAGGGGTGGTACCGCCCACAGTGGGCTGGGCCCTCCCACATCACTCAATAATCAAGAAGATGTCCCACAGACATGGCCACAGGCCAGTCCAATGGAGGCAATTCCCCAGTTGAGGATCCCTAAACCTATCCAGCACAATCTATTATTTTTATTTTATGTATATGAGTGTATTGCCTGCATGTGTGTAAGTGCACCCGTGTCATATAGCGACTGAGGAGGCCAGAAGGGAGCGTCTGACCCCTTGGAACTGGAGTTACAGACTGTCATTAGCCACAATGTGGGTGCTGGAATTAGATCCCAGGTCTTCTGCAAGAGTAACCAGTGCTCTTAATTGCTGAGCCATCTCTCCAGCCTCTCTCTTTTTAAATGTATTTATTTTTGTTATGTGTATGAATGTTTTGCCTGCATATATGCAAGTGCACCCATGTCATGCAATGCCTGTGGAGGTCAGAAGAGAGCATGGGATCCCCTGGAACTGGAGTTACTGATAGTTGTTAGCTGCCATCTGGGTACTGGGTACCAAACCCAGTTCCTCTGGAAGAGCAGCCAGTGCTCTTAACCACTGAGCCGTCTCTCCAACTCCAATGACTTACTCTTTTATAGCTCTTTGTACAGCTTCAGTCAGAGTTCGTGCCTCACGACCCTTGGGCAGCCCTTTCTTCTGGCTAGTGTTTTTCACCCCATTTTTTTCCTCTGCTGCCAGTGGCACCTCCATGGCAACCTCCATCCTCTTTTAGCTTTGAGAATGAAGACTTTGGGGGACAAGCTTTTCCAACATTCCTGAGCCAAGATCCACCCCACAGTCCTCTTGGACCTTAAGTATGTTCTGGCTCCTGTCCTCCTGTTCTACCAGTAGAAGATGTGCCATCTTCTCTCTGTCATATGGCCTTTGATCTTCTCAGAGAAAGAAAAATGCTGGAAGGAGCTGGAGAGATGGGTCAGCTGTTAAGCATGCTTATTGCTCTTGCAGAGGACCTGGGTTTGGTTCCCAGAGCCCACATGATAACTCACCACTATCCAGTTCCAAGGGATCTGACACCCTCTTCTGACCTCCATGGGCTCCTGTTGCCCTCTTCTTGTATCCATAGGCTCCTGAACACATGCACTCAATAAGGCAGACACACATATATGTAAAAATAAATAAATCTTTTTACAAAATGCTTGAAATTCATAAGTGTAGCTTGAACTTCTAAAACTTCTAAACATCCAGAATTCATTGGATGTGTGTGTGTGTGTGTGTGTGTGTGTGTGTGTCTTTTTGAGACAGGGTCTCCTTGTAGCCCCAGCTGGAACTCACTGTGTAGACCAGGCTGGCCTTGAACTCACAAAGATCCACCTGCCTCTGCCTCCCAAGTGCTGGGATTAAAGGCATGAGCCACCACGCCCAGCCTCAATATTTTCTTATGGTGAAAAAAATTGTGACCTTTCTCTATTCTTGCTTTTAGAAATTTTGCCCATCTGATCTTAAGTTTGTCAGCATGTGCTCATACGGCATAGCTGCACAGAGGCCAGAAACAGGTCTATACAGTCATGATACAGTTGGAGGTACAATAGAGGAAATGTGCATAAAAGGTTTGGAATTTTGAGGTAATTCACGTTTTCTCCTTAAGTGACTTAATTTCTTAAGGCTCAAAGTCCATTTTCTTTGACCATTTGCCATAAACCCCACACATTCTGACTCTAAGCCCGTATCACTATACCATTTCAAATGGGAAGGATGCATTTCATGAGCATTCTCAACTAAATGCGAGCAACTCTAACCACCACACCTCCCTTCCTTTTCCTTCTATCTCTCACCTGAGCTTAGACTTGGGATGCAAAGAATTTCACATCATTTTAGGTTTTTTTAAATACTTTATTTATTTTATGTATATGAGTGTATTGTCTACATGTGTATAAGTGTATGGGTGTCATGCAATACCTGAGGAAGTCAGAAGACAGCGTTGGGTACCCTGAAACTGAAGTTATGGATGGTTATCAGCCACCATGTGGGTGCTGGGAGCTGAACCTTGGTCCTCTGCAAGAGTAGTCTTAACTTCTGAGCCATCTTTCCAGCCCCAAGATTTCACAAGTTAAAGTTGATTTTGGCTCATGTCACTTGTTCATAACACAAGCTGTCACTGTAAACACCAATTTAAGCAACTTTCCAATCCAAATCCAGGTTATCAAGACCAAAATTATTTTACAAATGAGAATTACCAACAGTTTATCCTTTGCAGATCATCTCGAGGAAATCACACACAAAAAACATTGCAAGTTATTGACATACAGTGGAGGACTGAGGAGGGAGATAGGGAGGAAACTCGTGTTCATTAAATATCGTTGTTGGGGATGCCTAGGGGGAGGAAAGGAAGAAGAGGAGGAACCTGAAACCCAGTGTGGAGTACAGACTTCTCACAGAAGCCCCTAGAGTCTGAAGGTGAGGGCAGCCTGAGGACTGTAAAGAAATGGATGAGAAAGAGGCTCTCTTCCATAGACAGGTGTCCATACCCAAAGCAAACAGTCAAGGCCTGACTTTCTCAAGCAATTGGTCCAGCTCTCAAAAATGAAAAAGTTGGGCTGACAAGATGGTTCAGCAGATAAAACATTTGCCATGCAAACCAAATGACCTGAGTTCCATCCCTGGAACCCACATAAAGATAGAAGTGGAGAACTAATTGCTGGAAGTTGTCTTCTGACCTACACATACACTCTGGGTAAATTGGCTTACTTAGTGTTATGGTTGCCCAGTAGTTCCTGTTGTTTCTGTTATCTTTATAATCTGGAAATAAAACTAAGTGTGGGGAGGGAGGGTCCCAAGGGTTGTCTCTTTCACCCCCCCTTCTGAGGCATCTTCCTGCACTGCCAAAGCTGTAAAGCTAAGAACTACATTTCCCAGACTCATTTGTACTTAGGGCTTCCGAAGCAAGTTGGGTTCCACTGTTTAGAGAGATAGTGGAACATATAGAAGATGGAAGGAGATAGAAGTCATTTTGATGCTGTTTCTTCTGTCAGGCCAAGCCCCCTATGTGTATGTGAGTGCTCAGACCCCACAGTGCTTTACCTCCAGACCTTGACATCAACCAGTGGGGTCCCTGACCCTGTTCCTCCAACCCTTCCAGTGATTTTATAATCATATGATTCCTTTCTGCTATCATACTCAAATGCAGTAGGGCAAGCCAAAAAATATGCTCTTCTGGGCTTAGAATTAAAGGTTTAGAATTTACTGAGACCAGTTCAAGAAGTATGACAGAAACACCTGCAGTGTTTCAAAATCAGGGCAGTTTTAGGCAAACTCTGAACCCTTGCTGATTTTTTGTTTAAACCAGCTCTCTGCTGCGTCTCTCGTGACCACAACTCCCATGACAGCGCAGCCAAGGGTACAATTTGCTCTGTAGTTCTCTGTTCCAGAGCCCGTAGACCAGAGGGTTAAAACACTGCGCAAATGCAAAGACACCAAAAAGCACAAGATTTACAGCAAAGAAAAACACCCCGCACCTCTTTCCCAATCCTATGAATAGTAGGGTGGGAGTCACATGTAAGCTTATCTGTAATAGATGAATGAGGACAGTTCTCCTTGCCTTAACATTTGACCTATTAAAATGGCCAGCCCGCTTCCCTTCTTGGTATATCAGACAGTAACTCACCAGAATGACACACAAAAGAAGGGAAAGGAAAAGCATGCCAATGACTCGGGCAGGCATGCCGTTCAAAATCACAGGACAAAGGGGCACAGATTCAAAAATAGCAGCCCGTGTGGGGTCAGTGCCCTCTATGAGAAATAAGCCAACATTCTTGAATAGAATGGTGACCCAAGTCCCAGCCATGATCCTGTACTTAGCCGAATCTATAAGGGATGGAGATTTCAGGGGACAGCAGATGGCCAGGTAAGTGTTGACAGCCATCAAGGCCAGAGTGAGAAGGATCCCTTCTCCCACGCTTAGCTGTGCCCCAAACACCAGCCAGCACAGCAGCAGGGGGCTGTTGCCCATCAAGGCCCGCATTCCTTGGAAGACAACCCCCAGGCCACAGTAGGAGGAGATACACAGCAGGTGATGGCACAGGAGGACCAGCCGCAGATCCTTCCTCAGCTTCTGATTCTGTGATACTATGGTGACAATGATGACAGTGATGGATGTGGCAAAGGAGAAAGTCACCACATACACAGAGGCCTTCACTCTTGCCTCCAGCCTCAGCCAGTCTGATATGTTGCAGTGCTCAGAGGACAAGTTCATGGTCTTCTGGGCTGGAGAGAGAGAAAGACAAGAACGGGTGAATCTGGCTGAAACTCCTTATGTGCTCTCCAGCTCTGATCTGTGTTCAGGCTCAAGGAATAGAGGGGCCTTCTTTGAGATGGGGATGACGGATATAGATAATATTGACCAGAATCAAGAAAGTTGCAGAAATCATCAAGATCTTCTCTTAGTTAGGAGCAGGGTACCTAGGCAAGTCATACAAGAGAAAGCTGAAAGATGTATTCTCAGTACTCAGAAAACCACCCAAATTCCGGTCAAGGATCACTATCTTTGACGGGAGAGCTTTTCCAATCAGGAACATAAAATATGTTACAATCACAAATGACTAACTGCTAATCACTCATTCAGGCAGTACATGTGAAGGTCCAAAGAAGGGATTAAAACAAGAGCTGTGAGGAAGATGGGGGAATGTCATTAACCCAGAGCTTTAATTCCTTTCCTTGCATAAGGCATGAAAGGGGAATCAACAGTGATGGACTGCAGCCACAGGCACTTCCTAGGAACTGGGCACTTTCTAGACACTGGAAACTACTCTCCTACCATGTATGTTTACTTTCTCACAAAGTGGTTTTAATGTCACTCTTCATGGAGGAAACTAGGCTTAAGAAAGGGCTTGAATTGCTCCCCACAGGCCCATGTGCTAAAGGCTTAGTTGCCAGGATGGCCCTATTGGGAAGCGAGGGAACGAGTAAGATAGAAGGCCTAGGGCTGGGGATGTGGCTCAGTTGGTAAAGGGCTTGCCTAGCATGCATCAAGCCCTGTTCTACCCCCAGCTGGCACAAACAGGTATGATGATACAAGCCTGTAATCCCAGTGCTCTCCAAGGTCATCCTTGGCTACATAGTGAGTTTGAAGCCAGCCTCCAATATATAAGGCCAGAGAGAGAGAGAGAAAGAGAGAGAGAGAGAGAGAGAGAGAGAGAGAGAGAGAGAGAGAGAGAGAGAGAGACAGACAGAGAGACAGACAGAGAGAAAGACAGAGAGCCCAAGAGGGAGACATTTAAGTCTCCTCGGATGTGTCTTTGTGGGACCTTCTGCCCTTGTCTTACTTTGTGCTCCATGGCCACGTGGTAAATGATTTTACTCTACCACACACTTGGTCCATGATATGTTGCTTTGCCACAGGCCCAAAAGCAATGGGGTCAACAGTCATGGACACTGAGCCAAAATCAATCTTTTCTCTTCATACACTGATTAGCTCAAGTATTTGTTATAGTAATAGAAAGCTGACTGATACGTTCAGCCACATGTTCAAGGTTTATGGTTACTGTGTAGTGATTCCAGAATTTGGATTTGGGATCCATGCTCCAGAACAACCACCTCAACCACCACAAGGAAGCTTATGCTATCGTGAGGCCAAATTAACATATTCTCCAAGTTCTCATTTGTCCAGTGTCATTTGACCAGGCTTTGCCTCTGGCAGTATTATTACGCCAACATCATAATCACCTGAACAAACAGACTGACTCTTAAGAGTGGGCCCAAGCTCAGAGGATGCTAACGCCCCTAACTATCTATTAGAACCACCAGACTCCCCGAACTGTGCTGAGGGATCGCTCTGGTCCCCTCACCCTGTGCTGATGAAACTGTCTCTGAAACCCTGTTTCTCTCACTGTCAGTCTCAACTACCTCCCACTCCCCTACCCCCTACCCTTCCTCAGGCCACACCCATAATTTATTCAAAACATGAGTTTTCAAGCCTCTTTGGGGAAAAACAAGTTCAAGTTCAGCTCCATCCTTAATCTTCACATGTTGCTTCTGGTAAGAAATCCACTGTGGGAGGCTGGAGAAATGGCTCAACCATTAAGAGCACTGGCTGCCCTTGCAGAGGACTGGGGTTCAAGTCCCAGCACCCACAAGGCAGCTAACAACCATCCTTAACTCCAGATCCAGGGGAATTTGACGCCTTCTTCTGACCTCCGCAAGCATTGCATGACACAGTTTCACTTATATACATGCAGGCAATACACTTGTACACATAAAAGAAAAATAAATATTTTTTAAAAAGGAAACCCACTGTGATGGTTAATCGTGATCATCAAATTGGTAAGACTTAAGAGTCACCTTGGAACAAATCTCTGGGCATATCTATGAAGGATTTTCTAGATTAGGTTAATTAAGTGGCAATGATTTCATGAGCTGAGGTCCTGGACTGAATAAAAAGAAAAACAGAGGGCTGGAAAAATAGTTCATCAGGTAAGGCCGTCCTTGTTGCCTTACCCCCCACAAGACCTGAAACATCACCTCCTCTCCTGTCAAAGCTGATTGACAACCAAGTCTGATGACTTCAGTTCAATCACCAGAATCCACATGGTAAAAAATGAAGAATGAATGAATGAATGAATAAATGAATGAAGTGCTAAGGAAAAAGAGGTGAGCACCAGTGTTCATCTCTCACTATTTCCTGACACTCCTGCCTGCAGCCTTGACTTTCCCATCATGATGGACTGTGCCCTCAAACTGGGAGCCAGAATAAATCCTTTCTTCCTCCTTAAATGGCTTTTGTCAGGTATTTTGCCAGTCATGAGAAAAATAACAAATACACCCACTGACCGCACACCTGGGAAGATACTAGGATTTCAGAATTACTGCAGGAAAGTGACTTTGAAAAGATCAGGCAAACACAGTAGCCTCATGAAACCTTCTCAAGCATACACAAGGAGTGTACACTGTGTGGCATCCTGGGGAACCCCAACCCCAGTTACAGTATCAATGCTAGGAAAGCCCGCGGTGGAGACAGCAACAGTGGTACCTACCTATGGGTACCACTTCCAAGGTGATATATCCTTGCTTCCTCACTCATCCCACCCCCATGACCTGAAGCATCACTTCCTCTCCTATCAAAGTTGATTGGCGTTGGCCTCCTAGAAAATCATCTTATAGACTATGGTGTTAGTCTAAGTCTATCTCGTATAAATAGGACCCAAAGTGCATAAAGAATGTTGTCCAAGAATGATGTCATGTAATTGACCTGCCTGTCAAGCAGTGTTATGAGTGGGAAAACAGAGCTAGGAGAGGCAGGAAAGAAGAAGGGGTAAGGGAGGGTACGAAGACCCTGGGAGACCACAAAGCTCAGTCAGTCAACAACCTTCACTTCTCAATTTGTGATTCCACCAAAATGCCCTACATTTTCTGTCCTTGGAGTCTAAAATATAACATATTCCTGAATCATCTGAACTACCTGTATAGGTTTCTGTTCCTTTCATTATTCCATCCTCTAGACTGAAAAGTGAACAACACAAGTCCTGAAGGTACTGATTTCCTAAAGGGCACATAGGATGGTAATTTGACCACCCAGCTACCCACACACCTGTCAGGCCATAGCTCCTTATGAGATCCCTTCCTCTAGATTGTTCTTGTTCCCTCAGGATTATGTTGTCACCCTTGTGGAGAATGTCCCTGTTCTGGTGGATTTTCTGCCATGATTTTGAATTCCAGGCATTTCTTGTCTCTGCTCTCCAGTTCTACAGAGAGGAAATTAGAGTGCCATTGTGAAATTCATTGATTGCTCATTTTCTTTTTCTTTTTCTTTTCTTTTTTTCCTGAAACAGAGTCTCATGTAATGAGGCTAGCCCTAACGGCACTATGTAGCTGAGGATGGCCCTGAATTCCTCATCCTCCTGCCTCCACCTCTTGAGTGCTAGAATTCCAAGTGTACAACACCACACAAACTTATGTGGTACTGGGAAGCAAACCCAGGGCCTCAGGCATTCTACCAACTGAGCTAAATCCCAAGCCATCTAGCTTTCTTCATTTGTATGAGTGTTTTGTCTGTGTGGATGTATATGCACCATGAGTATGCCCTGTGCCCAAGAAGGCCAGAGAAGGCATGGGATCCCCTAGAACAGGCGTTCCAAAGTGCTGTGAGTCGCTGTGTGAGTGATGGGAACCAAGCCTGCATCCTCTGCAAGAGCAGCCAGTGCCCTTAACTGCTGAGCCATCTTTCCTGGCCCTGAACCTTTCTTTAAACACAGACTTTTCAATCAAAATCCTATACAAGGGGTCGGGCGTGGTACACCTTTAGTCCCAGCACTCGGGAGGCAGAGGCTAGCAGATTTCTGTGAGTTCAAGGCCAGCCTGGTCTACACAGTGAGTTCCAGGACAGCTGGGGCTACAGGGAGACCCTGTCTCAAAAAGACCAAAAAAAAAAAAAAAAAAAAAAAAAAAAAAAGAAAAAAAATCCTGTACAAGCCTCCTTCAGTATTAAATGGGAAAGTGCATATCTGCTCTTATCAAATAATTATAGGTTGGGTGTGGTAATGCACGGCTGTAATTCCAGCATTTACAAAGCTGAGGCAGAGGAACCTAAGTTCAAAGCCAGCCTGCACTACACAGAAAGGCCCTGTCTTAAGTAAGTAAGTAAGTAAGTAAATAAATAAATAAATAGCTTTTTTCTTAATTGTCTGCTCCCAGAGACCCTCATAACTGTCTTTTGGATACCATCACAGAAATGGAGGGCCAAAGGGAGTCTCTATAGAACCCTGGTAAGTTAGAACAGCAGTCTGCCCCTGGACTGGGGGGCCCACCTGAACCAGACCCTATACCTGCACCTGCTGCTAACATCAGTGTGACTTTGGATACTGAAGTCTCTTTCATTCTCTGATCCTTGTTGCTTGACATCACAACCATGCAGTGTCACCAAGCTCCCATCCTTTCTCTCTCCATCCACAGAGTCATCCTCACATCTTTGAGGGCCAACTCTGAAGCTGGGTCCACAATATCTGTCCTACCCTGACCCAGAACCTCCTGTATGATTTCACTGTCCCTGACCCTTGCCTCAGTGAAATGATCACCATCTCTAGCTATCAAGGACAGAACCACTTTCTCTTGTCAGACTGCCTCCCAGACCCCACAGCAGCCTCTGAGCCCCAGACACAAGGAAGCTTTTGCTGGCAGAGTCCACAGTGGTCAAGGCCCCTCTGTTATCTGGAGCCTTCCAACAATACGCGCGTGCGCGCGCACACACACACACACACACACACACACCTGGG